ACCCAACAATGTTCAACAGCTAAACAAAGGTTCGTAAAGAAAGGAGTACAATGGTTATTCCCTCTGTGTAATGGTACACCAGGGCACAACCGCTATCAGTCTAAAAGCACAGATATTAATCTCAACTAGACGATTTGATTTCTCTCCGTGGCTTCATCTTATGTAAGGTGCATATTTCGTAGTGTTGTGAATAGCCTTTAATTAACTGATGGCAAATATCTGCAATGGGCACTGAAAACCACATACACATTATTCTAACAAGGGAAGTGAAAGCAATCAGTAAAGATCTAAAGAAAAATGCCATAAAATATTTGGGGACTCCAATATTTTTTCTGTTCTGGCTTGCTGTTTACATAGTAGGTTTTTCTTGTTTCCATTCTATTTACACCTGAAAACATAAGTTGAGGGAGCTTGTGAGTTGAGTATTCGGCTGCAGTATTTATATCGATATCGAGAGAATGTCTCAAGATATTGCTCCGAAAATATTTGAAAGAAGTGTCTCAAGTGCTTCTTTTCGGCGGATTTTTACTCGTTATCGATAGGAAAATGCTTAGCTAGATATTTTTTGTTAATTTCGAGTTAGATTAAGACAGAGAAATGGCTTTTGTGCGTTAGTGGATGTTCATAAAATGGCCATAAATCGTAAAGTACAGCAAGCCAGAACAGAAAAAATATCGAATTCCCCAAATATTTTATGCCGGCTTTTTTTTTTAGATCTTTACTGATTGCTTTCACTTTCCATGTTAGAATAATGTGTATTTGGTTTTGTGTGGATTTCATTTTCATATGGGAGATGGCTAATTAAATATGCATAAATTAGTGTCAAATGGCCATTTTTGATTGAAGGGAATAAAATATTTTGACCTACTTTTTTGCCACAATCATTCACTCACCAAACCCAACATTTGTGCCAAGTTTGAGCGAAATCGGCGATTCGAACCGTTTCACCTCCTGCCTGGTCCTCTCGTGGACACACTCTTAAAAGCTCTATTTTTAACACTACGATTCTGCATTTTATTAATGTTAAATAAAATTCCTTTTGTCTATTTTCCTTACAAATGCCTTTTGGCACTCAAATGTTGATCATTCAATTGCAGGTTGCCACTTTGAAACAGGACCGAAATTTCTTTTTTTACATCTAGAATACCGTTGGTGAACTATTGTAGCGAACCTTGTTTTAAGTTCCAACGAGTTCAATTTTCTTTGAAACATAGGAAGTTCGAGATCCAGATCGATGGAGTTAACGAAAAATGAAAGCAATTTTAATAGGCCAGTGGCCTTTGTTTCATTTTAATTTG